AAAAAAAGAGCCCATTTTGCTCAATGTGATGATTAAACAACACACTTCAACCGGCATAACATTTTTTTTCTCACGAGTCACGACTTTCGCTTACTGTCAGAAACTCTCTGTGATCCCATTTCCACTATTCTCTCCACATCAATGTCCGCAGACCCGTACCTGAGCTTCATCCCATTCTGCACCCACGATCTCACGCACAGCAAAGCCCGCGCATCATGCCTCGTCACCAAGAACCTCTGCCTCACATTTTCATCACCCTTGGCCGAGAACACATCCTCTGGATGCACCGCAGTCGACTGCACGGCCAAAAAATCCCGAGCCATCAACGACAGCCGAGGGTACCTTGAACTGTTCACTTTCCACCACTCCACGACGTCCGTCGGCATTGGGACGGGAGGCTCGGAAAGGTATTGCGTGAGCTCGTCTGTTGCGGAACTCATCCCGGCCCTCCGCTTTTTCCGAGCAATCTCCTCGGCAAAAGAGGCGCTGCTCCCCTCGTCATTCGGCTCGTACGAATTACCGGCCGAAGGGAAATAGGAGACAGAGTAGTTTGTGATGAAATGATTTCGGGCTTCGTCCAGGAAGCTAGTTAGGTTGAGGTACTCAGGGATGAGTTCAACTTTTATGCGTGGGTCGAGAATCGAGGCCATGTATGCAAACGGGTTGCAAACCTGGTCGCTGTAGCTTAGGGCTTTGACGTGCATGTCCTCGGCCGCGGCTTTGAGCCATTCGGGGGTCTGCCGAGAGTCCTTGCAGGCCGAGATCGTGTCTGAAATGTGGTCCATGAAGAAGAGGAGCATGCCGACAGTGAGGACCTTGTTTGTGCATATGTTGCTGATGGTCTTGTAGAAGGGCTCGAGATAGTTGTGCACGATGTTGATGAAATTCTTCTCAGTGGAATTAAGGAGTAGCCGGCTCCCAAGTTGCTCCTCGTGCTTCCTGATCACACTATCAATGGATTTACTGGCCTGTTGAAAATAAACATCCAAGAATGTGAGTAGACTGTGTAAAGGTATCATTTTATGTAGCGTCGTGAATTTAGTATTCCTGGGAACTCAGCATTATTCTGCTTAGTGAGATCCATACGTGGAAACTGTTGTCTGATGAACTAAAAACACTACTTCAAGACTAAACGACTTTTTCTATATATATTTATCATTCTCTGGTGCAAAGCATTACCTGGAGTTATACAAGAAAAAATTCGCTACCCCACTTATTTTTAAAGCAGTTACACTGCTTCTTGATTGTCGAAAGTCACAATCGCCTTCCAGAATCAAATGACATTAAACAAACTCAAGCATTTGGAAATGCAAAAGGACTCTAAATAACTCGAGAAATACGCAGGTTTTCATGTTTATCTCAGTTAGTCAAACTCATCAACTGACTTGGCAGGGATGTGGGGATATATACCTTGCATCCAATGTCAAGCATCTGGTAGCTGCCACTCCACCGGGCTGAAGCATCAAGTGGGAACTTCCAGTTTCCTTCTTGATATGCTGTAGTGAATTGCAAAAAATCCTCTAAGATTTCTGGTGATGAGTTCAGCTCTAGCACAAACTCCCTGATCTTGAGAATCACCGATTTTGTATTTCTTAACCCTTCATTTATTATTGAATTCAAAGTATGAGCGGCACAGGGAATAGAGCAAAAGGCCGTCAGTTTCTGACTATCCATATCACCTCTGAGAGTATGACAAGCATGTGTGGCATTTGGACTATTATCGTGAGTAATAGCAAGGATTTTTGTCTCAAGATTGTAGAGCCTGAGGACTTTCAAGAGAGCATAATAAATTTCAGAACTCCCACATGGGCTTGGAATGTGACAAATGTCAAGAAGAATTTTCTGAAAGGACCAGTATTCATCGATCCACTGACATGTAACACTCATGTAAAGGATTTGTTCATAGGAAGTCCAAAAATCAAGAGTGATAGAAACCTTAGAAGTAATTTGCTGCACGGTCAGCTTCACCATTTCTTGCATGCTTCTGAAGACCTCGCACATCACTGTCTGGAACTTTTCTCCACTCCAAACCTCAGCCAATGGGTTTAGAAACTTAAATGAGTTCATTAGGAATTGTTCGGCCAAAGTGGAAGGGGGAAGAGATGCTACAAGAAGCCACTTGATAAGCAACCAGTTCAAGTGGTCGAGTTCCACCAAGGGCAACTTAACCTGAGTTTGAGGTTTCTTAGTAACTGTCGCTGGCTCTGGAGCAGAATTGTTAGAAGAATCAGCCATTTTATCATATCCTGGATGCCTGCTGCTGAGATGTCTCCCCAAATTACCTTCAGCAAATTAAAGAAGATTATCAGTAACTTGTACAATTTCTGCAGAATTAACAAATTATCAGCTAAATGCTCTATTGGTTGTAATCAGTTACAACTTGGAGTTTGTAGCAGCTAAAGCTGCAGCCTCCACATAAGGATGCACTCTCCTTATTTTAACAGTTAAACACCAGATGCTTCACGTCCTTATCATAGTTAGGTTTGCGAACCAAAGAGGAAAGGAAAAATAGATTAGGAGAAAAGTGATAGAGAAAATAACCAGTTGCAGTGGCAATAGAATAGCTTTGTCCACAAAACTTGCACCTTCGACTTTTCCCATCTACTGCTGTTTCAAAATACTTGAGATATACCGAAGTCATTGTTTTTTTCCTGGGTTTAGAAGTAAGCACACTATTTCCCTTCTCGATAGAACCCAAGCCCATATCTGTTGGATCAATATGGGAGATGATTGCTGCATTCATTATTGTTACGGACTTGGGATCCATATCCACTACAAACAAACAAAAAACAATATAAGTCAATAGGAAAACTAAAATACAACTATGAGAACAAAGTACACCACTAAAATCTCGATTGACCACTTCAGTGAGGATCTTCTTATTACGTTAAAATCTCCTATAACAACCACATTCAATTTCAAATATATATACACTTTTCTCATCCACTGCATTCCAAATTTCCTCCACTTGCCTAAACTACCTTAAAATAAATACTTATCAACCTTCTCCAACTGTATCCACTAGAGTATGCAAGCTATTTGATACAGCTCAGGAAAACCTCGATCACGGTACAACCTGGGTTGTGACAGGAACAAGAAACAACACTTAAGCTCATATGAGAAATGAGGAGTTAGGCCAAATTTGTAAATTTCAGTCAGACTATGTCCGCCAAGTGTATTTGGGTCAATAATATAGAAATGCATAGTCTTATGACATTGATTAAAATTACTAAAAGAAAAGAGATCCGTTCCTATGAGGCTGATCAACCAAACAACAAGACAAATTAACAAACACAAAAATAGAAGAAATTATATCTTAAAAATGTTCAATTTTCAATATCCTTACTGTTTCTTAAAAATCAGATGTTAATTCTTGCAAAAAGTTTGAAAATGCATACCGTAATGACTTTGGATTCGTGAATTTTGTCAGCCCTCTAAGGTTGGACAACAAATATCACTATTAGATAACAGCATTATTACGAGATATATTTGAATTTAATTAAGTCAGCCTCTTGAATTTAATTAAGTCAGCCTCTGCACTACATTGAGCCAATTCTCATTGAAAAACCAACGAATTCAAACACAACACTCTAGTCACACAACCTCATATTTATTTCTAAACTCCAGCACGCCAATTACAGCAACTTAGATCACTTCCCAAATGACCCAAGTTGTAACTGGGGCCCGTGTTATGGAGGTTAGGCGAATTAGCTAACTAACAATGATCCTTTAACTTTCCCACAATTAAATAATCTGATTTATATAATACCTTTTGAATATAAATATGATATGATTCAATCTCGTACTTATGAGAACATCCTTCGTCGTCGAAAATGCCAGAGGCAGTAACTTCGTGATTCATTCATCTCGCCAATTCCAACATGAAACCAACCATGCATACACATTATCTGCTCTAAGCCTCTTAAATTTTTTATTCGATAGAGGAAACCATGTCCCAATACACTGCAATATCCAAGCTTTGAACCCTTATTGCCACCACTGCGAAAGGCTATATAGTTTCTTTCATAATCACCACTTATTTTTCTCAAACTAGTTCATAACTATATTGAATTTCCACACTACCATATGATAAAACATGTCTAGAGAAGCACTCGAGATAGAAACACCAATCAAAATAGAGTCACAAGCATAGTCACCGCGTAAGGATATCAAGATACTGCCAGTTAGTTATGCTTACAACAATGATGATATAAAAGCTTTGACTGAAAATATTGAGCATATGTGAGTAGTAGCAAGAAAACGACTGCCGGAAACTAGAGTCGAAGTGTAAAAAAGAGCTTTGCATCCCGAATTACAATGTCAAGCTCATTAAAATGAACTAAGCAATCATCACACTTTCATAGTCCATATACAGAATATAGAGCATCTCTTTCCAATAATTAAAGAAGAAAAAAAAATATATACTATAAACCTTTAGCGAACTGGTTACTGTTTTTGCTGGTAACAGCCCAATCCATGGAATTTCCACCTGCAGCAGCTACTCCAAGTACTTTGCCGTCTGATTTAAGTCGAACCCAATAAATCCAGAAAACAATGGCAGAGGAAAAAGGGAAAAAAAAAAATACAGATTCAGGCGTTTAGTTCATACAGAGATATGCACGGCGAGAAATACAGATTGCTTGCCGGAAACACATATGCAGAGGCGGCGGCGGCGGCTCAGATCAAGAGATGCGAATCAAGGGTCGGACTGATGAAATAATCCAAGGAGGTCAGATACCGAACAGGCAATGGCGAATCCGACATCCAAAATACGGGGAAAAAAATCAGCAACTTTTGTGCGTGTCTGTGTGTGCGAGTGTGTGTGAGAGAGAAAGAGAGAGAGAAGGGAGTAGAAAAATTGGAGGGAAACAAAAATGGATATTTGTAGTTTGATTAGAAGAGGGGAAACAGAAACTGTAGAGCCAGCCAGATCTGAGCCGCCGAGGGGAAGAAGGAAAGAGAGAGGTGAAGCCGATCAATTCTGCAGTCGCTCACGAGTCACGCCGACAAGTCAACCCAGTTTCCGCTTTTTTTTTTTTAAAAGAGAAAATAGACTCCCATTGGCCATCAATAACCCAGAAATAGCCGCCCCATCGGAGTCCGTTAATTTTTTTCTTTTTCTTTTTTTTTTTGTCGACTCAGAGGTATCTCATATTTATGATATGTTTGGTAAAACTAACTTATAGCTTATATGTGATTTTTGAGCTTATAGCTTACGACTTATATCTGAAAGGTTAGCTTATATGATAAAAACGTTTGGTAAAATTAACTGATAAGTTGGCTGAAATAAAAAGTTCAACTACCTTATTTGAAAAGCTACTTAAAGTAGTTTATGAGATAAGCTCGAGCTTTTTAAAAAAGCCCATGCTATCAAACGATGCTTATTTGATTACAGAAAGCTTATAAGCTAACCAAATAAAGTATAAGCGAGCTTATTTGGCTCACCAAACATAGCCTATACCAATGTTCAGTTTAGGTTACATTTAACTTCTAGTGAGGAAAGTGATTTAGAGTGCATTTAACCATGTCTTATCAATGTTATCTTTTTTTTTTTTTTCGAAATGATAGATTGTATAAACTCCAAAACCAAACGTTTTTACAACTCGAAGATCAACTGATCTCAAAAAACCTCTACAAAAGAGGAGTACCACAGGAAAAAAACCCAAAATAAACTACCAAACCCACTAGAGAGTTTGCATATTAACAGATGGCACAGAAAACGCAATGAACCCATCTGCTAAAATCAAACTCCAAGCCCCCAAAAAGGGTTCAACCACTGCACAAGAAGGCCTAGAAGAACCCCAAGCTATAAACAATCTGCAAACACCGCAAACAAAAGCAAAACAAGAACTAAGCTACCACAAAACAAAGCAAGCCAAAAAACATGACAAGACACACTAGGCAGCTGCAAATTCTCTCCAATGTTTCCCTGCCAGCTCAGCCACTACTCTGTCTTCCATCCACATCTCTTTGAATACCCATAAATTTCTAGCTTTCCACAGCCATCATAGGATATATGTGGAAAGCTGGATTCTAAGCTCAGTAGTTGTTGTTTTATTCAGGCTGCAAACCTCAAACCACCATGCTTGAAAATTATCAGTGTAAGAACTCAACCCCTCCCAAGATACTTGGGACAGCTTCCAAATATTTTTAGCTCTGCTGCACTCAAAGAATAGGTGCTCAATGGTTTCAGGCATCTCTCCACATCCTTTACATATACAGTCCAACTCTAATCCTCTTCTACTCAGATTGCAGTTCACAGGCAGTGTGTTTGTTAGGCAACTCCAGAGAAAATGTTTAAGTTTACCTTTCACTTTTAATCCCCAACTTCTTTTCCTAGTTGCCCTCTGCACTTTTTGTCCTCTGCTGCCCTCTGCAATATCCATAATTCTCCACTTTTGTGCTACCAGTTTTGAGTATATAGAGGAGACTGTGAAGGCACCTTTAGCACCACTATCCCATACTAGTCTGTCTGCAGAAGAAGGATCCAACCCTTTGATGCTAAGAATGGCTTGTGCTTCTGTGCCAGAAAAGGATGCTTGAATTAATTGGGTATTCCATTGCCTGCCTGTTTGGTCAACAAGATCCTTCACCCAGATTAAATTAGCATTGATGTTTGTCTGAGATGAGGAGAGCTTAAAGCCTGGAAGTGAGGGGATCCATGGAAAATCCCATATCTTGACTGACTTCCCATCTTTCACTTCATATCTAACTCCTTCTTTTAGAGTGTCTCTTACCTCCAACCAACTATTCCACATCCATGAGCCATTCTTCTTCTTGGGAACTGTGTATAAGCTTTCTTTTGAGAAGTATTTAGCCCTGAGCACTTTACTAACCAAAAGGTTTGGTCTTGTTAGAATTCTCCACAGCTGCTTGGCTATAAGAGCTCTGTTGAAAAGCAAAATATCCTTAAATCCCAGCCCACCTTTGGCTTTTGGTAGAGCAAGATAGTTCCAAGCTTTCCAATGGATTCCTCTGTCCTGATCTGTATTCTTCTTCCACCAGAATCTGGCAAATGATTGAGATATTTTGTGGCACAAAGTTTTGGGAATCAAAAATCATGACATTGCATATAGCGGAAGGGCCGAGAGAACTGAATTAAGTAAGACTTCTTTCCCTGCAAGAGAAAGGTATCTGTTTTTTTAGGATGCAATTTTGGTGTCCACTCTCTCTTGAATGAATTGAAATGTTTGGATTTTAGAATGCCCAATCCCCAAAGGCAGCCCTAGGTATTTCACAGAGTTATGACAAGTAATCCCCGACAGGATATAACAGATTTGGTCTTTATTTTGGGGGGGAGTATTTCTACTAAAAAAAATGGTGGATTTTTGGAGGTTAATTTGCTGCCCCGAACAGAGTCTAAATTGGTCCAGAATGTTCAAAATGAGATGAGCATGGGAAACATCTGCTTGGCAAAACAACAGAGTGTCATCCGCAAAAAAGAGG